TATATATATATATATATATATATACATATACATAATCAACAAAATATTATGTAATAATAAAATAAATATAAATGACAGAATTGTTTCCTCTTATTCGATGATTTTCTTTGTATTTAATAAAAACTTTAATAAAACAAAGAAAAAAGTATTAAAATGAATTGAATTGATTAATTTTACTTCTAGAAAGATTTATAAATAAATGCATAGAAGCGAGAGATTCTGAATTTCTTTGAAAAATAAAATCATTACAGGTACTTTGATTTATACATATATATAGTTTATGTAATCAAACCCTATTACAAAATGATTGTATGAAATATGAAAAATCTTGTTCTTCGTCATATTAAAATAAATCGTTTAAGAGTAAACATTCATTTAAGTCAAAATATTCATGATTAATAATGTTAAGTGTCAACGAATAAAAAGTGTAAATTATTTAGTTAACGTGATGCAATTGCATAATTACTTTCTACTAATGTCTGCTTATGCTTCCACCATTCTTGTTTTACCTTGTTAATTAATTTACGGTTTCTTGTACTTTTTTTCCTCCTAGACGTCAATAAAAATATAGTATTTATGTTACCAGTATCAGCTGGTTCTCATTTTGTATCAATTATTGCTTCTTCTATAGATAGAATAAGAGAAATAAATATAAATGCATACCTGTAGTAACATACAAATCAATTTTGATGATTAATTATATCATTAGTAATTAACATACCTGGCAGTGATTGCTTCTCATCTAGATAAAGATGAACTTGCTACAGATCGTCCACTCACTGCAGATTGCAAACTCAACATGGATCCCCTTCATCGAACACGAATGATAATAATTAATTTTTCAATTAATTTTCCATACTCTTTTATTACATATAAATATCATGTAAATATACCTGTAATGTACTGATGGTAAAGTTTCATAAAAGTACATAAGTTGTGCCTTATGAGAGCTTATCGAAGGTAGAAATTCTCCTTGTTCTTCTTGATTCTGCCATTGTAAAATGTAAGTTCCTGCAACCTGCATTATATGTGTACCCTAAAAAACAAACGTTTTATATTACTTTTTTTATCTAAATAAATTCAATATATTATAAAGAACAAATTGTGAAATACTTGAATGCTTTCTCCATCGTGGCATACAACACTTGGTTCTACTTTAAAGAAACCTTCTTTTGATTCTTTTGAAATAGTTATTTCATGATCGCTAGATGATGTCAATTCTGAAGTTTCTGTAATGAAATTTATTAACAATTATATTACAATCATTAAAACATTATTATTAATTATTATAATAATATTTTTTACCTGTAGAAGGATCAATATTATAATCTTTTGGTTTATGCAATACAGTAAATATTACATTGTATCGCATAACATCAAAGTCCCATGTAAGAACAGCACCTGGATCATCGCATTGGATTGTAACTTGATGACTTTGTCCACGACTCAAACTGATTGAATGGTACAAGCTATGTTCATGTTCGCAAGCTGTATTCTCCAGGTCAACTTTATATAAATGTTTTGGCACTACTCCCCCTTCCATTATATAGGTCTGTCATTTTGAACAGATGATAAATAAATTATTAAAATCGTTTGATAAATTTGAAAAATATTTCTTGCACACTACAGCTAATAATATAAGCCCATCAAAAAAATGTCTTTAATCGAAAGTTCTTTTATTTGTATGATGTAACGTACGGTTCTTATTAATTGTTTGTTTTTTTTTTTAAATAGATTTGAATTAATACTATTTAGGTCATATATACGAATCTATGATGAAGTAGATTACTGAAACTAAACATAGTGCACCTTTAAAAGTACATGAAGTGTGGTACATCACAATTTAGATTATTGTTTATACATTTTGCATTGATTCGAACAGTGTAATATTTACAACAAATAGAACATTAATTTCATATATATATAATCTTACACTGTCTGTAAGATTGTTGGCTGCAGCGTCGAAAACATAATATCTTCGAGGTACCGTGAATACTTCATATATATTTTCCTACCGGTTAATAGATTAACTATTATATTTATATATTATACAATGTTTAAATAAATCTCTATGTTTTAGAACTATTTAATTATTGTTCTAGCTAATATTTCTTCCTATATGTGCAATCATTTCACACGAGCTTGTTAAAATAAAATTTTACATATACTTTTAGTTTTATAAAACTATACAAATAATATGAAATATTAAATAACAGTGACATTACCTCAGATGAACCACCTAAAAAGTCAGGAATAAATTCTGGATCTATATAATCGCTGAGACCACCTTCCCCTTGTTCTTGATAATCCGTACCACAGTAAAATATGAATTTCTTTCTTGTATTTTCATCTGCAATAAAAACATTCATTAATTATTAATGAATTAATAATTAGTATGATACGAATTTAATGAATCCTTACGAATGAATGTGCTAATGAGGGTCCATAATATAGGAAAACATCTGGGTGCTCGTATAATGAGTACACGTCCCATTGTTTCAGGATAATTAGCTTCTACTATTTCAATAATTTTCAAAAGTGCCTTAAAAACATTTGTTATTATTATTATTATTATTATTATTATTATTATTTAATGTTAATTCGTAAAAGAATATATTTTAATTATACATATAAATATTTTGAAAATTATTAATACCTTTATACCAGGTCTCCAAAGATGACGCATATTTAAACCTTCTAGATCAATTAACAAAGACCATTGCGAAACTGGATGACCCCAAACGGTAGTTGCTTCATCCATTAAAAGAAGTCCTTCTTCGCAGATATGCAATGCCTGCATTCATAATAATAATAATAATAATAATAATAATAATAATAATAATAATAATAATAATAATAATAATAATAATAATAATAATAATAATAATAAGTATCTTTGTGTATATTGTAATTCTAATGAAAAATATAATTTAATATAATATACCAATAATAATAATTCATCTTCTCCAGTTGACTTAAGGAGACCTTTCACGTCCACTTGACCTAATCTTAAAATGTATAATGGTCGTCCATCTATAAAATAAAATCAAAATAATGAAGTATTTATATTTTCATTATTAAATGAATAATTTAAACATAACATCTTACCTTTATCAAAATGATGCCAACCACCTGGAAAATAATCTCTGATGACTTGAGGAGTTTCATATTCTTCGAGAAGTTTGTCGATTTGATGTTTTTTCCTCCAATGTAAGGATTGAGTCAACATATCCTTAGCTTTTTCTACTGAAAATTCAGTAGCCCTTAAGAATCTTAGTAGAGTTGCATCGGCTGGTACTGAACTACCCCTTAATTCTTCTATACTATGTCGCAATTGTATCAATTTGCTTTCTTGCATCATGTCTAGTTTTCCTAAATATCTTTCTATGTAGTCTGATGAGAGTTGTATCTCTACAGTATAAAGAGAAAAAAACAAAATTATTATATATACTGTTATCATTAATATATTTTTATGATTTCAAAAAAAAAAAAAGAAAAAAAAACTATTAAAAAGAAAATACTAATACCTCTATTACTAGACAACTTGTTCTCGACATTACATACTTCTTTGTCACTATGTAATTCACTACCATCACCCACATACTTCCTATATAAAAAAATGAACCATTGCAGATGTAGAAGAATGTGTTGTTGATTATATTCGCTAATATTAATCTAGGAGCAATATTAAATTTTGTTTTGTTTTTAACTGCTGCAAATTAAAGAGAAAGAGACATATTTTAAAGTATGAAACTTTCCAACAAATGTTTTCACAAAAAGAGAATAAATAGAATAAGAAGGTGCTCTTGGATCTTCACGTGCTATTCATATAGCCCAATTTTAATTTAACATGTTGAGCACGGTATCGGTCTCTGGAGACTGATAATGAACTTTTCGTTTAGGCGGTATCAAACCCTGGGGATTGATGAGTGATCACCGCCTAAATGAAAAGCACGACAAAATTGGCTCCTTGCTTAACATGTTAATAATATTAATACCTATCATTTGCAACAATTTCATTTTACCATATTCATTTATTTTACCACTTACTCTTTTTCCTTGGAAGTTTCTTCTTCTGGATCTCTCCATGGTGCTACATACGTTACACCTTCTTCTTTCAATTGATTGATGAAATATTCTATTATTTCTTTTCCCTAAAATCATTTGAATTTAATTATTACAATTAGAATCATCAGATTAAAAATTTACAAAATTTTTTCTATTTACCTTTGAAATATTTTGAGCATATTGTTTCATCGCTAACTTTTCCATTGAATTCTCAAATCCAAAAAAGTTTTTAATATCCAAACTTGCCGTTTGTTCGAAACAAGTCCATTCCGGATTTTCCGGATGAATCTTAGATATAATTTAATAATAAGTACACGAGTAATATTAAGAAATAAAAGTCTTATAAATAGTTTACATAAATTGAAACGTTACTTACAAAGTATCTACATTTCTCAATAACGATTACTCTAGAAGAGAAACTTTCATTGTACGCCTCAATTTCTAATACACTCTTGCGTCTATTCAATACATTTCTTTGAATAAAATATACAAAGTCTACACCAATGATCTATAAAACATAAAGTAAGAATTAATCAATCAATTAAATACACATACATGTAATTTGTTTTGAAAATACATTTAAACCAAGTAATTACTTTTTTCAAAATATATGGTGCTTCAACATTTAATTTACATCTTCTTTCAGTTGTTCTAATTGCACCATCTTCACTTTCTTCATCTAATGTAACATCACATCCTACAAATACTGGTATCTGCGGACACGTTGGAAATCTGCGTTCATAGGCCTACAAATATAAAATAAATCTAATGAAATATCATAATTTATAAATTTTTATATGAATGTATACAAAAAATTTATTATAATTTAAAGGGATAATCATCAATTAATTTTAATCTGGAACATGATATATGCATATATCTGTAGGATTATTGCATAATAGGATTTTAACAAGGACAAGTATAGGAAATTATAGAAGTGAAAGTATCACATCTTCAATAATCTTATTATGTTTTATGCTATATAGATAATATCATATATATATATATATATATGTATATCTAATTTTTAATCATAAAATAGTCTAACGTGTTGTTTTGATCAACTTAGGGTTAGAAGAGACAAGGTTTTATCCTATAATTTACTTATGTACATTCATGACCAAAGTAAGACGAGCTAAATCTAATGAATATTTCATGACAGAACTATTTGAAGGCTGTATAATAATAAATATACCATCATGACAAGGGCAAATGGGTGCTTATAAACTCGAACAGGTGATTGATATTGTTGAACCATATTGACGTATTCTTCTTATTTGTCAATTGTTAATAATTCACAAATATAAAATGTTTTATATGCACAATTATACTACTGTTACGCGTCAACACGACTTAAATTCGTCAAATTTAATCACTTCACGTTATCATAAACTCTATCCACTCAAGAGTAGACGAATTGAATGCAGAAGCAGAAACTTAGTACGTATGTTCGACTACTAGAGAGCGCTTAAGACAGTGACATCAGCGCCATCTATCGACGAATTATGAAAGAGCCCCTTTTAGGTCTTTTCGTTGTTACGATCCTGAGTTAAAGAGACGGTGCCCTTTTTGGGACTTTTCGATAATACGGCACTTGATGTAAACAAAATATGCACATTCTTTTTAAATAATTTATCAAAAGAAAATAAAATTTCCTTACAAATTTGAAAAGTCTTGTCTCTTAGTTCGAACTTTAGTCTTTTACATAATACTTTGTTTCGTAAATATTAGAAATGCTATTTTCGATAATTTCATGTAAGGGTAGATGATAATAGTCCTCAGATTTATTTTTTTCTAATTAATTTTAATTATATAGGAATTATGAATAAAGTGACCTAAGAAATAAATTACAATTAAAATACGTTTTATAGGTAGAAAAATTTCGTAGACAATTATTTTAGGTACTGCAATTATTTTAATAATTACAGATACATTTTTGTGATTTTTTCGTTCTTTTTTATTTTTTGTTTTTTTTTTTTTTGTTCGTCTTCGTCTTTCTAATAATCTTAAAAGTCTAAATTCAGTCCTCAACCTGTCGACTTACTTATGGGAATTTTATTTTAATTACTATAATACAATAATTATACATATACATACATACATATTATAGTTACAATCTTATTTCAATTCAACTACCGACGATTCTAGTATAAATATCGCATATATTTATTTATTTTTATGTTTTAAATCCTATAGGTAACTGATTCATGTACAGACGAAGTTTATAGTACGATATTTTTTCTTTTTTTAAATCTTATTTTTTTTTTTCATTCTTCTTTTTTTTTTATCATTTTACGCGTATATTAGTGAGTTAAGCGTATTCTGATTTCAGGTTGTATGCTTAGAAAAAAGCATTATGCAATCTCTCCTCTTTGTATGTCTTATAACATAAAAAATTGTTTTTCTTACAGGGAGGATGGATCATGCACTATAAAATGATTCTTTTGATGATTAATTTTTTAATAATTCGTATGTCCGATTATTTTGTATTATTTTATTTTATTTTATTTTATTTTATGTTATATTATATCGTAGTTTTTCTGTATGCCTTTAAAGGAATTTTTGTTTTGTATTATTTCTTATCGAGACAATATGATTGGCAATTTTTTTTACAGCAAATGGCAAATAAAAATAATAACATATATATATATATATATACACAATTATTTCTCTTCAAACTTTTTCAAAAATTTCTTCAGATTTTCTAGTCGAAGTTAGTAACAGAAAATAATGATATTTAACTGTTACAATATATTATTAATTAATTATTATATTTATTTCCATCACTGTCTTTTTCTTTTTTAATGAAACTTGTGTGTCATGGTTATTCTTTCTTTCTTTCTTTCTTTCACAATATTGTAGAAATTACAAAAATATTTACTACGGACAAGACACTAATGATAAAAGGTCTATTATTTTATAAAAGAATGATAGCGAAATGAAAATGTTTGTTTATTTGTTTGTTTCCGTATTAGTTGTTTCTGTATTAGTAAAAACAAAATTATTATTATTATACATATATATATATATAAATTTTTTTGTAAATGATATTACGATGAAATGTATTTTTTTTTTTTTTTTTTTTTTTTTTCATAAAATATTGGCCAATAGGAAACTTGTATACTAACGCCATCGCATGTAATATTTTATAACGATGAATTCAAACAACATTGCACAAAAATGTGAACAATTCAAATTTACAAATTACGTTTTTTCAATATTATATAATAGAAATCGGAAGCACTTATGTATATAATAACCTATTATTATAATTCCTCAAAATAATCTTGAGGTTTTCCTACATAATTAACTTGATAAATGTGATATATAAATATAAAATATATGCATTGCATGTTGCAAATATATATTTTTATATTATACACACTTATGCACTTTCGCAATGTTTCTAAATAAAATAGAACTTAAACTTGATGAAATTCACTTTACTCTCTCTGCTCGTTAAATAATTCAAACAAATGATTAATTTTAATGTACAATTTACAATTAAATCTATGTACTATTTTTACTTATTAATAAATATTCACATAATGATTATCGCGAGATATTATCTATGAGACTAAACTATCGTTATGTAAGAAAATCAAAAAATTATAATTCAAATATTTATAGTTTAGTATGGAATGTGTTTTTGATTAACGAATTATAGTAAATTCTGAACAAACAATCGAACTTAAGTTCTTTTCAATTGTAGAGCCTAACAATTGTGAACACGTCTACAACTTCTTATATAACATGTAAAAACGTATACTTACCAACCACATTATTTTGGTTGAGTATCTTGTGTTTGTTGCTGCTGTTGCTGTTGTTGTTGTTGCTGTTGCACTTGCTGTGGGTGAACTTGATGTGCAATAGTTTGAAGTCTAACTTGACTGGAACCTGGACTACCTCTTGCTGTGGTAACAATCGGTTTTCCTTGAACTGGCGCTGTTTGTCTTAACTGTGGGTTACCGGCAGTAACTACTTGAATAGTTTGCTTTAAGGAAGCTGGAGCTACTGGTATTACTCGAGTTTGCAAAGGAGATTTGGCTAAAACTACTTGACCTGGTTGCGAAACAGTTTGTCCCGTTGAAACCTACAATTAAACAATAAAATCAAATATTTTGATATTGGAAATAAAGAACATTTATAAAACGCGCGAGTCCGATGAACTTACATGTGTAAATTGTTGCATAGTAGATGGCTGTACATGCTTCATTACTTGTTGAATTTGTTGCATTGTCATGGCAGTCGGTAAAGATTTCTGTTGAACAATTAGTTGCGTTTGTACCCCACCTTTAGTAGTAACTTGAGCTAATTGCGCTACTTTTTGAGCTGGCAGCTTTCTCTGAGCTATAATTTGAGGATGAAGTGCCAACTGTCGAATTTGCTGTGGTGTAGCAGTTCTCACACCAGCTTTTACCAAAGTAGCTACCGGTGCACCGCTAGCTGATGTACCCGCTGGCTGAACTTGTAATCCAGTTTGCGCAAATATTTGCGCTGGTGTAAGCCCAGATTGAGTAGGTACTTGAACTTGAGCTACGGTCTTATTAGCTTGTTGCTGTAAAGTTTGCCTCTTTATTAAAGCTGCCATTTCAGTCTCTGATACTGCCCTTGCTACTGTTTGTTTTCCAACACCACCTTGAGCAGCAGTCGCAGTAGCAATACCCTGTTTCATTAATGTTGCTCTTTGTTGTGCTGCAGCAGCAGAAGCAGCTACTGAGACTTTTTGCCCGGCGACTCCTTGTGCCTGGATAACCTTCAGTTGTTGCTGTCTTAAAAGAAGTTGCTGCTGACGATAATATTGAAATTGGGCAGCTGTAATAGTCTTGCTACCAGATGCCGAGGCTACGGTAACACCGACTATTCCCTTAGGTGTCACACCTGCAGAACTCTGAGCAGCTGATACTAAACCAGCCGTTGCAATTCTCTGAGCTGCTTGAAGATTAGATACACTAACAACAGTTGGAGTTGCTCTTACGTCTTGCATAGTTAATGCACCACCTTGTCGCGCTTTAACTGTTGTAGTGACCATCGTCGTGGCACAAGTCGTGACACTGTTCATTGTTGTTACAGTCTTCATAGATGTAAGAACATTCGTTGCTACGGTCGTCACTACTTGTGCCAATTGGTGCACCTGAGGAGGTGTATTATTCGATATCGTTTGTTGCGATTGTTGCTGTTGCTGCTGCAATTTAATTTGCTGTTGCTGCTGTTGTACCTGTTGTTGTTGAACTTGTTGCTGTTGTTGAGCTTGTTGTTGCTGTTGTGCTTGTTGCTGCTGCTGTTGTTGTTGTTGTTGTTGCAACAAACGTGCTGCCGCTTGCTGCTGTTGTTCCGCAGTTAAAACCTAAGTAATATGTTAATAATAATTAATTATATTTAATTAAATACAAAAAAATAAAGAAATTCATTGAAGATACTAACAGCGTGCTGCTGCTTTAGTTTTTCTTTTGCTATTCTATCAGCTCTTCGTGTAGCGACTTCTATCGGTGACAGTGGACTGTCATATTGAATGTTACATTCAGCTAAAACTGCTGCATTCGTAGGATTCTTCATCAAAGGATTTACTAATAAAGGTTTAACGGTAGAATTTCTTTTGTTAGAAATAGATTTGATCATCTCAAATCTCTGGCAACACATCATCGTGAATGAGTGATTTTTATCTTGATTATATAACTGAGATGTTCGCATCGGCCTATTCGTTTTAGTTTGTTGCTATAAACATAATATATAATATAGTATATAATAAAATGATTAAATAACATTAAACATTATTCTTATATCATCAGAGAAATAACTTAAGTTTACCTCAGAGACTTGAGGTATTTTATATACGCCTTTTTGTTTCTTTTGTTTCTTTGGTGTTGTATCGTAAAGAAGTTTCCCTTCTTCTCTAGGAACAACCACGGTTTCGTAACGATTTTTACATTGTTTAGATGACCTGTATATTCTCGAGGTGTTAGTAACAATATCTGCAACCAAATCCCAATTTGGAGTTTGTCCAGGAGACACTATTAGCAAATTAAGAGGTAAGCCTTGATAAAATTGAATCGCTTGAAGCAATGCCCAATCCTCGTGTATTATCCATTCCAACATGTGTTGGTCTTGTTCGACAGAATTTTTCGTCATATGCGATGGTTTTATACCACTAGGCATTGATATAGTAGGTCTAACGATTTCACGATATTTCTGGAACTTCATATCTCTACGATTTTTCAAAGACGTTGATGGTCTATCGAATAAGGAACGAGGCGCAAATACAGATTCCTCTTTCTGTCGCACCTTCATCGGACGTCGTCCTAAATGAATGATTTCGTTAGAATTAAAACAATAATTAATCTTTGACATTAGACTTTGAAATGCGGAATTAATTGAATATTCTTACCATCTCGTTCATTTATTCCTGCGTCACATCTAACTCGTTTTTGTTCTTTCTTAATATAGATAGGAGGTAATTGCGCTTCTGACATTGGTGTATTTTCATACAAAAATCCGAGAGAGTAATCAATGTAGACATCATTATCTGTTGTTGGAGGAGTTGGTGGGCACCACATCTATTATAAATATGGGTTGAAAACAGTTATGATATCGGTATGTCTTGAAATAGTTATGGGAAAGGAAAAATGTTACAACTTATGTGGATATAACTATTCTCACCCATATATCATGTGGTTTCTTATATCCATAAGAGTTATAACATTTCTTCAGTTCTTTGTAACTGTTTCAATCAGAACCAATTTATAACCGCTTGAGAAACAGTTATTATCAGAACCGTTTCAACCCCCAGGTTATAAATTTTACTACTTACATATTGCAATGAATAAAGGTATATCTTAAAATGACATAACAAACACAGATTAATACAAATATATTTGTTTACTAACCGGCATTGGCTCCATCGTGTCGTCTGACAACCATATCTGTAAGACAGGAAAGCATAATCATCAAATCAATTGTATGATGTAAAATTATTCATTGAATAAAAAATGGTAAACAAAACTGTAGAATAATATATAAAAAATTAATAATATATTCATATATTATGCATGTATATATACCATATATATATATGATTACCTCAGGGCAGTTCTCTCTTTTTGAAGATATTAATTCAACTTACCTTACCTTACAAAACTTCATGATTATATATACATTTTTGTTTGACTTTGTTTTAATACATACATTTTCTTTTTTGTTCTAACTATCACGAATATTAGTAACAAATAAACTAAACTTTTTCTTTTTCTCTATAATAATAAATATAAAAATAAGAGATTAATATACTTTAATTATAGTTAGGAAGAAGAAAAAGGAGGCATGGACACGTATGATTCGCTCAAAGGCTTGTTCCTCTTTTAAACATATATATATATTTTTGTTTATATATATATATGTATATATATATATGTATACTTTTATATCAAAAAAAGAAAATCATCTCTTTAAACAATATGAAATGTTACCATGATAATTATTATTAGTACTTTTTGAACCCGTACGCTTGTCAATGTGCCTGCTTATATCTTGGGTGACTCCAAGTTTGGAATGGCAAAGGCAGTGTTTTGGTGCCATTTTTCTAAACTATAGATTATTATACTGGAGCTCTTTCTATGCATGCTACAATCTAAAAATAATAACAAATATCTTTTCTTTTGCCTTTTATAAACGTGCGGTCATGACAGCCTTGCCACACCAAACCGACATTAACGAGAATGCAAGAGAAGAAGAGAAGAATAATAGAAGAGTAGAAGATAAGAAGAAAAGAAGAGAAGAAGAAGACGGGTTTATTTTGTAGATAGCTAAAAGAGAAAGAGGTGAAGAAAAAAAAATAGAAATAGAAATAATAACAGAAGAGAGAGAGAGAGAGAGAAAGAAAGAGATATATATATATATAAAGAGATAAAAATTAAGAAATAGAGAAGAAAGCACGCGCGCGAGAGAGAAAGAGAGAGAGAGAGAAAAGTGTGAATAATTTACTTTAGAAATATATTATATAAACAAGCACACTGAGCAAGTTGTTTGACACCAAAACGGAACTGAACCTTTGATCGAACAGACTTGGATACGCACCAAGAAATAAGAAAACACATTTTGTTAGCTTTTTTATTTCGTAGTAAGGAATACTTTGTTTATTATCCTTTCTCGGATGCACTCGATCATACAAAAAACAGGCACGCAACTTAAGTATTACATTGGGGGAGAAAAGGATATATTGATAAACGAAGAATTAGTCTTACAGCTAAGATATAATCAGGTCATCATACCTTGCCGTGTTTTACTCTTGGCGCAAGGTATTTCTTTCTTTTTTTACTTTTTTGTTTGTTTGTTTGTTTGTTTTTTGTTATGAGAGCAGAAGTACGGCGCGTATTTTCTTAATAAATTATTATGAACCCTACAATTTTTCTCACTGTACTTTTAGACTCGACATATCATATCTTGTTTCCTTCTTTTTTCTTTTTTTTTAAACGTTTCTCAAACGCTGTTTAAGTCCTAAAAGCTACACGACACAACAGCTTGTATTTTTTTTCATTTTTTTTTTTTACTTTTTTTTTTTACTGTGTCTCTAATTATATATAAACTATTATAATACACTTGTGTGTCTGTGTGTATACGTCTATGCATGTATGTATATATGTTCTTTCCTGAACGTCTTACTTAACATTATCAATGTATAAATTACAATACCACCGTACGAACGTTATTCCATTCTTTCTTTTTTTGTTTTCGAATCTTTACAATGCAGGGCACGATTTACAATACTAAAAAATATTACATGTGTGCCCCCTTGATTAGTAAAAGATACAAAAGAAGAAATTGAAGAAGAGTAATAATAATTATAATAATAATAATAATAATAAAAAACAAAAAGAACATCTCTTTCAATATACATATATATATATACAAGGCTACTCGAAATAAAGAAAAATTGGAGAAGGAGAAGAAGAAGAAGAAGAAGAAGAAGAATTAGAAGAAGATGAAGTAACAAAGAGAAGTATAGAAGTAGAAGAGAAGAAGAACAGAACTTGATCTTTCTCGTGTAACTGTATCGCCACCATTTTTTCCATGAGATTTTTCGAAAGAGGCATTTTTGTAATACGTACGGCAGATTTTTACGTAGTAGATTACTAATATATAATATGTATATATTTTATATACAAAAAATGCACTGCTAAATGTTACAGCAATAATAAAATTCCAGTGAGACTCAAGATGATATTAAATTATCAGCACTGAATTTATTCATTGTTATTTCCTCTTTTTCCGAACTTAAAAGAGAAGGAGGAGGATTGGAAGAAGATTGCAATCGAACGGATTTTTTTAACGGTTGTACCTGTACCTCCTCTGTATCTAAAGTCTTTAAAATCGTATCTCCAATTTTACTTTCTGTGGAAACAGGGCTTCTTGATTTATTAGCGGAGGACAATCGTGTACGTTTTAATTTTTTTCTTGACCTTTTCGAAGTGACTTCTGTTAATGTGTCATAACACGACTCATTGCCTATATCGACTAAGGCTATCATAGATTTTAAAGAAACCTTGTCCGTGTTGTTAGTTTTTAATGGATTAGTTGCTGCATTAACAGTTTTGTTAGAATTCAAATAAGTACTGTTTACGTTAGACGCCCCATCCCTTTGTGTTGATTCATTAATGTGCTGCTTTACTTCGTTTTTCAAGTCTGATAATCGTTTGTTTGATACCTCTAATATGTCAGAATTTTTCTTATTTGATAGTTTTGGTTCGCTCGTAGCAGAATTCGCACTTTTACTATTATTCGTTTTGATATTATGATTGTTTCTCGTATCTAATGTAAGAATAGCTACAACTTTAGCGGTTCGTTGAGGTTTTTCTTTGACTTCAGAAAAAGTTAATTTGTTTTGGTCATTCTCCTGTGAAAATGCTTCCTCAGCAGCAACCGCATTACCATTCGTATCTGTGCTTAAATTTTGCTGCTCACACATCTTCTGTTCATCTGAGGCTCCTTTTAACGAAGAATCTGACTTTTTAATGTGTCTATTTCCTCTCAATACTGGTGCTGATGTAGATGGTGTTTTTAAATAATTTAAAGTACCGACCTGCCCAGAACGAGTTACCCTGGATGAACTTTTTTCAGTAGTAGGTACTGGTGTACCTGGACGATGTTTCTGATTACCACTAACACTCTCGCTATTACCAATTAGTTTCTTTTGAACAGTTTTACTTTGTGCAGTAGACGATAATTCATTGCTGCTCTCTGTGGTAGATGATTTCATGGGTGGTATGGATCTACTTCTTCTGAATACTACAGGATTTAAAAAACCATTATTGTCCACGGATGATTTCGAGCTACGCGTCGTTGGTTTCTCATAAACTTTATTACTAATATGCTCATCGTTTTTCGTTGAAGAATTAACCGCGATAGATCTAGTGATCGGCCTAAGTGATTTTAAATCTGACGATGGTGTGCCCGGTCGACGTCTTTGAGATTTTTGTATATACGAATTTTCGATTGCTGTTAACATCATTGATTGATTCACAGAAGATCTTGTTACTCTACTATAATCCGGAGCAGATTGGGAATTACTATTATTACTATCAGAAATTCGGGACAGGTTTGCTTTTGCTGTTAGAATTTGTGAATTAAGAGCAACATTAGAACGATTAGTAGCTTCTTGTTTTATATTCTTCATATTACACGATGAATTTTCCTCGAGTTTTGTATTGGCATCAGATGTTACTTCCGAATCAACATTGTTGATTGAATTTTCTAATAACATTACAGCTTTAGCGCTACGCGTGGTTACTCCTAGAGTGCTAGATAAATCAGATTTCCATGATTTAGATTTCAATTCGTTATTTGAGCATTCTTTGGACGATTCTGTAACTATTTTTTTAGGTATTTCAGATTTTTCAAAGTTCGTTTCTTTATTCAATTCATTACTTAAGTCGTTAGATTCATTTGTAGGAAGAGAATCATCTAAGGTACTAACTGTAGAAGACAGTTCTAGTTGATCGTCATCTTCAGTAACCTGATTCTTAGCAATTTCGGTAGTAAATTTTTGACTAGTATCAATTGATATCACAGAATTTTCTGTAACTGATTCATTAATCAAATCTTCAGTTTCCATTGAAGAATTATCGATACTTTGAAACGTTGCATCTGAATCGACACTTCTGTGCTCATCTAATAAAGATGAATTAGATTCTTTTAAATCTATGCGAGAATTAATTTTAGTTTCATTATTATCTACAGTTACAGGATCAGAACTATTTTCATTTTGTATATTTTTATACGAAGAAAGCGAGTATGCAAATGATGTAGATTTTGAATTAGAGTTAGGCATTGGACATGTTGATTTATCGTCACTGCTTAAATACGCTGAAGAAGAATTGGATTCCGAATAATTTGATTTATCAGTAGTTTCGTCAATTAAAATTTTAGAAATTATTGGTTCACTACTGGATTCTAACATTTTTTTCACATTGTTTCTAATAGGATTTTCTTTAACATTTTCTGAAGATTCACTACTCTCATTGATGGGATCTTTATTCTCTAATTTGTCTTGATTATGTTTTGCATTATCAAAAGATTTATTAATTTCATTCAATAAAGAATTCGTTTTTTCAAAAGATTCCGAATTTCTATTATTATCCACGCTAGTAGTAGTATCATCTAATTCTAATTTAACTTGAGAAACTGTCGTTGTAACGTCAGAAGATTTTACTGATGAAGATGAAGACTGAAGGGAAGAAGCTTTTTCACCAGCAGTTTCATTATTAGCGAGTATCTTAGTTGAATTAAAAGATTTTTCGAAAACTACATTACTTTTATTTATCTGGGAAATCGTATCTTCGACATTTGAAGAAATTACAGATGCAGATTTCGAATCGTCAGATTTAACGTATATCTCCTCAGTTTCCGACAATTCGGAACACTTAACGACGTCTGTCGTGATGCTGTTATCTTTATTATGACATTTTATAGAATTTTCATCAATTTGCAATTGACAGGAAAGATTCGAAGAAGATTCTTCACAGTTAATAGTAGTCTTTTTATAACTCTCCTCAATAGCCTTATTTGCTTTAACCCTATCTTCATCTTCGTCAGAATCGTTTAATTTTCCAGTCATATTCAAGTCACTTTCAATCTGTGATAAAGAGGAGGCAGGGATATTGGCGGTCGCCTCATTCCCTTTATGATCAATTTTATTTCTTTTGCTAGACCTACGTCGACACTTTGGTTTAGCTCCAGGAAGAATCGGACTTACGTCTAATGTCCACAAATTGATCTTAACGTTTCCCCTAGATCTAGTTCGTGGACTGTTTAAATCAAAATGATTTTGATCACAAGGTTTATTCGAACGATTATTACGTTTGGGATAAGATCCTCGTTCTGAATCATTACGATTATCAGTCTCTTCCTCTTCGTCCTCTTCGTCACCTTGACTTTGACTTTCTGTATGGCTTGACTCCTCATCGAGACTATCCTCAACAACATCTTCCTCCTGAGAATCCGAATCAGACTCGGTTGTAGTATCTGTTTCGCTCTCAGAAGATTCCCGAGTACTTCTACTATTGCGTTTTCGCGAACCTCTCCTCCTCCTCCTCCTACTACCACCACTACTACCTTGCCGAACTTTCTTACTAACTAATTTCTTTGAATTATTAGCACTATTAACCTGATTCTGCGCGTCCTCACGTCCAAAGGTCAGAGGTTTCTCGTCATCATCAGCCAGTCGCATACGTCTTTCCTCTTCCTCGCGAAGTGCACGCAAACGATCCATTTCCCATTCTTTCTTCTGTTCTTCGAGTTCACGTTCGGCGGCCGCCAATTGTGCGGCTGAAAACGCACCTTCAGACTCTTCCACGAACTTCATCGCGTATCGTTCAATTGGCGTTAACTAAATACGAGAAAATGTTTTGATGAATTTTATATTAAAACAGAATTACCAATTTTACTTCTTTTTGTTTTATAATAATTATATACGTAAGTTGCTGTTGTTGGATTATAAAATTATTTTAATGAATTTCATTACCTGAGACACTAAATTCTGTACTTCTTGTTCCGCCTTGCTAACTTGAAGGTCTTCTTTTTCTACATCATCTAAAGGAATATTCTCGTCAAATTCTGCTAAATCAGCAACTGCCTCAGCTTTTGCTATTTTAGCTGCCTGAACATCGAGATCTTCTTCCGCAGCTGCAAGAGCATTTTCAAGAGCACCCATTGCAACTTTATCTTCAACGTGTTGTGACAGATTTGGTATTTGTACACCCGAGGAATCCTTGCTCATGGATTTATCTCGATCTTTTTGTTCAAGTACTTCTGCCATCCTGGTTGATGCATCATTTTCAGATTGATCGATATTAAAGAGATCTTGAATGGTAGACTGTAAAGTATACATAAGGATTATAAATAAATTGAAAATATATTAGATTTGTTTGCATTGATAATGATAGAATTCTTACACTCTTAAAGTAAGCTGTTGTAAAGTTTCCACCTTCGATAGCAAGATCTCCAAGTAATCTTTTTTGATTAGCTTTCTTCAAAATATTTTCTTCTACAGTTTTTTCGCTTACCAATCTAATCAAAATTCAATGCAACATATTATTTATTTGTCACTTAATTTCTTACTTTAATTTTATGAACAACCATAGATACAGCAATATCAAGTTTACCTGTAAATATGTACGTCGCGTGTTTGACCTATTCTATGGCACCTATCTTGTGCCTGAGCATCCATTGTAGGATTCCAGTCACTATCATAAAATATGACTGTGTCTGCTCCTGTTAAATTCACACCGACTCCACCGGATCTTGTAGATAGTATAAAACAAAATATTCGTTTGTCCCCATTAAATCTTTCCATTAGTACCTGAAAAAAAGAATTGAACAATGAAACGACATTGAACATTTAATATTTGATGATATAAAAATAGTCGAACATACCTGCCGTTGATCTACTCTAGTAGTGCCGTCTAAACGCAAGTATATATGACCATGGAAATTAAGAAAAGCTTCGAGTACATCTAACATCCTAGTCATTTGAGTAAAAATGAGAACTCTATGATTTTCAGACTTCAATTTTCTAAGAAGAAGATCCAAGGACTGTAGTTTACCACAATCGTATTGTATTAATCTAGGTTCAGGGAACTGTGTCATCATCGACCTGGTCACCGGATGGAATAATTGCATTTTCTGTGACAACTCGTGTTGCAATTCTATCTGTATGCGACGCTGACTCCAAAGTTTATGCGGCGGTGGATGAGAAACATGGAAGCGCGGTACTGGTGCACGTACAGCAGGAACGTAAACAACAAATCTTTAATAAAAAATAACTCCATGAAGATAACAGAGATATTAAATAATTATATTCAATAATATTAATTAAAGTTACCTCTCAAAAACTTCTTTAAGTTCTTCAACAATTCGTTCAGTACTTTTTATTGCTTCTGCTAACGCTTCTGTACAGGAGAAAAATTGCTTCCGTGTACGAACAGGCATTTTGGCAGTTGTGCAATTTACAAGACCATTATGCCAAGTGCAAGCTGTGGATGGTTTTCCAATTCTTAATGCAGTAAATAAATCTTCACCGTATAAAGGACACGCTTCACATCGACCTTCGTTGATGTTTGCCAATGTACGAAGTTTTCCTTGTCTTCTTTGCTTTCTTTCTTCTTCCAATTGTGGCTGATATATAATAAAATATAATAGTTCATAAAAATGTAATAAAACATTATATTTTGACAGATTTTAATAATAATATAATCATGCACAAATATTTACCAAATGAAATTCTGATTTAGGCTGTTCCTTTGCTTGGGTCTTTTCAGATTCCTTTATCGTATGCCTTGTAATAATGCCACAGCGCAAAGTTTGTTGAGTAGGTTGTCCATTACCAGCAGTAGACTGTGCCTGTGATCCAGTAACATTCAAGGGCGGAACCCTCATTACTGGTCTCCCACTAGTTCCACTCGAAGTTGTAACAACTCCTCCAACGACTTTATTTACTGTGGTCGCAGAAGTAGATAGGCCCATTATAGATTTAGATAGTACTGTTAATCGTTGTCCAGTCGGTGTCATTACCGGAAATGAAACTGAAATAAAATAACATTTTCTTTATTAATACACTGATGCAAATTTGATATCATTGACTTAGAATATAAAACTTTTGTTATTAATTATAAATGTTATAATTAAAATACAATATAAATTTGTATTAAAATCAGCAAAGACACATAACATCATGCAAAGATACTTCACGTATTATCATGCTCATTTTTGAAATTATGTGATTGTCAGTGGGAAATGATCACTCTTCTCACAAACCTGTGTTAGTATTTTGTTGATTTGAAGTCAAAATGATATGTCTACCAGTAGAGGTTTGAACCAGCTGTGCAAAACCAGGCACTGGTATTCTCTGGACGGAATCACCTTGTTTGACTGTAACTGTCTGTGTAGCCAACCTTTGCAGTCCATCTCGAATATTTGCATTCCCAACTGTAATTCTCTGTGCATTCGTAGATGCTGTTGTTGATGTAGTCGTTGTACTTTGTGAGTTATGTGCCAATGTTCCAACAGGTATAGCTATTAGATACATGGAACTTATGTAGAACATATACAAAACAAAAGCTAATAATACTAGTATTATTGTATTCTTGGTTCTAGAATGCTTATAAAATAAGATGATTATAAACAAGCTGGCCCGAGAAAATTATTCTAGCACCGTTGCAAACATGATTGAACATTACATACAATCACCAATCGACGATGCATTAAAAGATTTTTCAAACATTTCAATTCAATACCTTTCACACTGCCTTGATGCTGCACCAATTGCACGGAATATCCTTGCAATTGTTGACCACCTGCTACTCGCAATGTTACACCTTAAATGAATATAAACGATATATTTAGATCTACAATAATCTTTTTTACAAAGAAAATATTTATATGAATTATGAAGACTACAAAACAATTCATACCTTGACCTGGAGTACTTTGATTATTTAAAGATTTAATTAATGGTGATGTGCCAACCCTTGGAGTTGGTAATATACCAGCTAAACTTTTAACTTTAGTTTGAGCCGGCTGTGGAGTTGACGATGGTTTAACTTGATTTGATAATCTGACATTAATTTTAATTTTTCCTGAAGGACATCTAGGAGGTGGATCTGGCTGACTATCTATTTCTTCAATTAGTTTTCTAGGAGTTTTTAAGCGTTTTATTCTATGTGCCCCAAATGCTGTTAATGTAAATTCCAAGTCTAACAATAACAGATTTAAGGTAGACAGGTCAATATGCTGTAAAAATATATAGAATAAAATTACATTTAACATATGTATATCAAATATACAATTATATTAATATGAAATTATAAAATATATTTACTTTAAATGGATCATAATCAAAAATACTCCATACTAGAGAAGCTGTAATAAATTCTATTGCTTCCATTTGAAACGGTGAAACTGTAGGTCGGACTTCAAATAAGTTTGGATGATTACACACTTTGCGCAATTGCATTAATACGTTAATTACACTTAACAAATTTCCACTAGCCAAAGTTTCCTTCGTCCTTTTGATATAAATTAAAATTAATTAATGTTCATATTTAATATGTAATATATACTTTATTACCTTACAATGAGAATCAAAATATCATAATTAAATGATAAAGTAAATTACTTACTTGGCTCGAGACATGAAATCATCATACAAGTATCTTTGTCTTTTGGACAATCGACACATAACGACATGCTCATATTTCTTTGGCAATTGTTTTTCCACCTCAGTTTTTAATCTCCTTAAAAGAAACGGTCTTAGTACCTAAAAGAACAAAATTCAATATAAATAAGTAATTAATTTTGTATAAACATAGTATTAACAAGATAATGCATGTGAAATATATGTATATAGTTATAAAAATCTAAAAATTATTGTTTCTCCAGACAGGATACGTATGCCATATAAATTACCATTTCTGACACGCGAGTTTTATGGAGAACTTATTTAATATCTCGCTATTTATGAATAAAAACACACATCGTTATAAAATATCACGTGTCTGTTGTCGGTAGCGAGAAAATTTTATTTTATATATTTTTTTTTTTTTTTATTAACAGACAAGTGCAAAAATAGTACGTACAGACCTTGTGTAGACGACGAATAATATTCTCGTTGTACTCGCTGTTTCCTTCAATCATTCCGGTAACAGGATTACTGAACCACTCTTTAAATTCTCTATGAGATTGAAACACATTTGGCATTAAAAAATGCATTAAAGACCATAATTCCATTAAATTATTTTGAAGAGGCGTTCCTGTTAGTAGCAATCGCCTAGAATCAAATACGAAGATATACTCTAATGTGTTTTTATAAATTAATTAGTTGGTTACATACATATTTAAATTCTTTATTTAAATATTCACCGTTGCGTTTGAAAATTTAATAGCAATTGCCATCTTTGTGACTTAAAATTTTTAATATTTTGAGCTTCGTCTAAAATAAGGTATTTCCATTTTTTTCTTCTAAAACTTTGATGATCTTGTATAACAAGTTTGTAAGATGTAATGCATATGTGAAAAGCGTTTGGTTTGGTCCATCCTGAAAAATATAATTTTATCAAATAAAATTTAAACAATATTTCTATTTGTACAATATTATCATTGTGGAAAAGAAATTCTTTATTATTACCTGTCCTCTTTTGCTTTCTCTCTTTTTGTGTACCATAATACGTTAATATTTTAAATCCTGGACACCACTTTTTACATTCCATTTCCCAATTAAGCATTACAGATGTTGGTACTATTATAAGATGAGGACCCCAGTTACCCTTTTCGCAAGCCAAATGTGCTAACAATGCTATTGTCTGTATAGTTTTTCCCAAACCCATTTCATCGGCTAAAATACCATTCAACTTTCTATCATACATTGTTACAAGCCAATCCAACCCAATATGTTGATACTCCCGAAGTGAATGTTTTAAAAGAAACGGGATTTTTGTAACAACCTATAAACGTGAAATGTTTATAAGTACCCATATTTGAATTAAAAAAATATATATATATATATAATACAAAAGAATAAATGTATTTTGTGAAAAAAAAAATGTCGTGACAACTTTTTAAAGTAAATCAATATATGAAGTTACTAAATGACAACGTAGTCACTTATACTTTACCCTTCCTGAAATGGTCTATGTGCAACTGAGATATCACATTACCTTGGATGGAAAGGGTAATACTTGTACTATCAACTTATCAGCAAAATATTCAAAATAAGATTAAAAATTACTTACACAAGTAGTAAGCAAAGTATTGCCTTTAGGTTGTATGCTTTCTGCTAAAGCTGCTACATTGTCCATTTCATTATGAGCATCTTCGACGTGATCTGCTTCTGAAGTCTAAAGATAAATATTCGACGTATAATAATAATAATTTATTTATCAAATAAACAATAATAAAATATAAATAAATACTAGCCTTATTTTCACTCGGTTTCTCAGTAGATGGTTCTTCTAATAAAGATTTTAGGCCTACATCTGTTTCCGTATCACTATGCATTTGTGAATCCTCAGCTTCATCGCTTTCTTCACTTTCACTTTCACTACTAGTTACTTGTTCTTCGTTCTCCTGAGTTTTTTCTTGGTCAGTTTCTTTATCAGACTCTATAAAACAAATATTTAATATAATTGTGAACAAATATTATACTTTGATTATATTAAATATTTTAAAACTTTTTTAATTAATCTCAGACAAATGCCTCGTATTACATCAAAAAAAAATAGGATCAAGTATGAAAACCATAGCTGTCACCATCAGGATTGGTAAAGTTATCATCATCGATTATTATAAACAAATTTTAAAAATATATTGTTAAATGACAAAATTCAAACCATAGAGATTTACCTTGAGCATCATCCTCTTCTACATCCATTGGTGGATCATTTGACATGTTACCATATTTTGCCATAAGTTCATCAATAGACATTTCATTCTCTGCCTATAAATATAAATATATTTTATTTAATAAAAATATTATTCTCTGAAATGTTTGTTTTTTCTAAATCGTATGCAATACAAACCTTGAGATCGTCCAACTCCTGCTTGTGGTCTGTGCTTCCTTCTATTTTTTCCTGTTCCATTATAGTATCTTCTTCATCGGAAGACTCATCCGACGCAGCTACAAAATCAGTATCTTTATCCGAACTTTTTTCATTTTCCTGTAATAAAAATGGCATTGTTATAAATCATTACATTTTATTAACAACTAATTTTTAGATATAAAAAAAAAATATATATATATATATATATATATACCGCTTCTTCAACTTCTTTTTCACTAGGTGACAAGCTTTTATTTCTATCTTCTAAATAATTTGGTGGTAGATCTTTCAGAAGATCTTCTAAAGGCATTTCTGATTCTTTTTTTAATAATTCTATTTCTTCTTTTTGATCTGTAGTTGATTTCATTTCTTCTTCTGCTTTAGCTATTGTTTCTTCGTCGTCATCTGAACTTTGATTTGGCTGAAATTCCTCTGCAATAAAAAAATTAATTTATTTTTAGATGAACTCTCATAACTTAATAACATTGAATAGATGAAACAAATTCATTTTAATTTACCATCAGAAGGAGGTTTCCCAGTTGGTACTGGCGAGGAAATACGTGAACTATTTATTGAAGCTGGAATACTCTGAGAGCCATCAGTTTTATTAAGACCTTCAGTTAACCATGTTGAATATTTTTCTGTTTGTCCTACAATGAAATTTAAATGCTGATCTAATGCCTTTTTTCTTTTCTCTTCTAGCCTTGTTTGCTGTTTATACTCCACCAGCTACAAAGAAAAATATTATGAATAAAAAATAATAATTTTTTGTTAATGAAATAGCATTAATCAAACATCTTAATATATGTGTTTAAAGAATAAATGTCCAGCATCAATATTCTTTGACGGTACAAAAATAATTAATACAGCCATACACAATATGCTGACTTTGCTGTTCCCACAACGAGCACACAATCTTAACAAATGTATATTAAAACTGTCGGCTTATTAGTGTGGGGTAACAATAAGTGTTGTGTCTGTACGTGTACATAAATCATGACAATATAAAAATAAAATATAATATAAAATTACCTTTTCTACATTAGCCCAAAAAGTTTTAATTTCTTTTGCAACAAAACTGGCAATTTTCTTGAGTCGAAGTTCTTGAGACTTTTCAGCTTTTTGAGCTTGAATAGCTTTTTCTTGAAAATGTTTTTGCACCATGCGTGCACATTTTTTCGCAGCAGCTTTCTTCCACTTTCTTTCTTGCGCAAAATCAGCAGCTAGCCAAACCATTTCCTCCAATAAATAATCCCAATGAGCCTTTGTTCTTGCAGGCTCTTGTACCTTTGGTAATCTTCTTTCGGACCATAGCCCATCTCGTTGTAATTCCGCAATCCTTTGCATTACGTACGCTTCCTATAAGTTTCATAAAATATACATATATATTAAAATATATTCAAATTGTTGTTTAAATTAATACACAATCGTTTAAATAATAACCTACTTGTTTTGCTTTTTCTACAATTTGTTCTTGATTATTCGTAATATCACTTGAAGTTGCAGAAGTAGAAGATAATTTCGTAAACTTAACAGCAGGTTGAGAAGTACTTCTAGATGGGCTAGGAGCTTTTGTTACAACCGGAGTGATAGGTGTTTTCTCTGTAACTGGACTCGCAGGAGTTGTTTGTTTTGGCATCTCTGGGACTAATGGAGTTCCACCTGATATAACAGAAACAAATGATCATTGTAAATAAGTTATGAAAATATGAATAATTGATGTGGAACTTTTTAAGTTGTTGTAACAAAGCGCCCTTTAGTTGAATACATTTGCTAAACAACCTTACATATGCTTTGTATTATTTTATCATGCCAAGAAATCGTTTCAATGTGTAAATTATTAAAACATTTGCCTGGCATGAAATTTACATATTATAACATAAATGAAGATATATATATATATATATATTCACATATATAATAATTATACAAAATTGAAATATAAAAAATATAATAGGAAAATAGCATATGTAGCTATAATAGCAACATAAATAATAAATGTGAAAACAAGAAAGGATCAAGAAACTTTATTCCTAATACATACAACTTTCAATTTCAACATTCAAATAATAAAAAAAAAAATAACAAGAATTATTAAATTATATATCTGATAATATTGACAATGATCTTTCTTATCATAGACTTGAAATAAAATATAATATAATTATTATTATAATAATCATGCAGCAAATAAAAGGAGTTTGTCAGAAATAATACAATCGTAAATAATTGTAATCCCAATAAAGCCACAAATTAAATTGAAATGAGAAGTATATGAATAAAATTTGATATGATCTTAGTAAATTTTCATATGTTATACATTATTCCAAATGTATAACAATATAATAAAATTGTATCCACCACCCGCAACATAACTAGCACCTTGCAAATAATTAACAGAATAAAAAGCACATACAAACAGAAAAAATGACATTTAATTATTACTTAAACATAATAGAGAAATCAAGATTTGTTCAATGATTTATCAAATTAAAACATAATTGTTCACCTCAAAGTAAATTTGTATGAAATATTCTAAACATCAAATGACAGGCCCTATAATAAGTAATCACCTATAATGAGCGTGGGTGCTAGAGTAGAAGTAGGTGGAGGGTGAACGGTGACTGGTGAAGACTGTATTGCTGCTCGGAAGGCAAACACCATGCCATGGCGGCCCCCTTGAGGCCTACCTGGTACTTGTCCTATTGCGCAAATGATTTTTTATTTTATCATGATACATCTACTAAATGCCATTTGCTTTGACTAAATTATTTTTTCCACAATATGTCTAATGTATTAAAATATGTTAAATTAGCCATTTCCTTTGATTCATATAATTTCAATAAGACTATTGATTATCACTTATTATGTTTTAATATGACTTTTAGATAAATATGTAAAATAATGATTGCAGTACCACAGGCTATCAGTGAGGTAATACTTCAAGGCATGCGAAATATATAGTATTATGTAAGAGAGTTGATACTGGAATAAAGGTGTGTATAAATGCTTATAATTTTTTGTGCACTTATGTACAAGAAATCAACTATTTATCATTTTATAGCTATTGTTAGTAATACAAATTAAATAGCTAAGCCTCTGCTAAGTATTGCATTTAATACCTTGTTGATTAAGTTGAGCAACAGCAGCAGGTAAAGTTGTAGATACTGCAACCGGAGTCACACCAACTCCAGAAATTTTTACTTCTGCGCTCTGATTCGTAGGAACTGTAGTTGAAGCAGATGTCGTAACTGGAGATAGTGGAATTTCTCGTATTGATGGTAATGGAACCGTTAAATCTTCATCATCATCATCTGGATCTAATCTATGTTGCCTTAAAAAATGTAAATACTGTGATGTAGGTGGACGTTTTCTCCAAGCTTGATAATCCATCATATTTCCACCAACATGAAGGAAGAACAATTCTGAAACGTTCTCTGTATATTTTTCTCTTATTGCTCTCATTCTCTTTATCTTGTGTTCTAAAATACGTTTTTTATAACTCGTACAATCATCTGCAGTAGCAGTTACTTTTTCCGTATTTTCTGTAAGTTTTAATCTTTTCCTTGCTGGTGGTGATTGCATTGAAACTTGAGAAGTAGGCGCAATGAACATGTTCCCCATAGAAGTTCGTACAAGTTTAGGTGAAGTCGCCAATACAACCTTTGTCGAAGTTTGACGAGAAGGTGATGTAAGAGGCGTACCACTTGCACCTGGAACTCCCACAGTGCTAACACGAGGTGCTGTGTTACTAATATTAACAATCCTCGTAACACCAACTTGCTGAACATTTGTATTGGTTGTAGCACTACTTGTAATAACCTAAAGAAGACGTAAAATATTTTATTCACAACCTAATACACAACCATATTTTATAAAGCAAGCAAAATATTCAAACAGAAATACATAACCTAAAAAGAAGAAACGCATATTGTAAAAGAAAAGTATAGAGAGAAATTTATGCTACCAAGTTAATATTTTATAGTTATATTTTTTATTCATAATAACCTGTGTAAGACCGGGAACTTGTGAAGTAATAACAAACTGCTGGCCACCACCAGTAGTGAGTACATTGAGCCCTTGAGCTGAAGCCAGAACTTGCTGGAGACTGACAGTTTGTTGTGCTGCACCACCATTGTTTCCCCCATTATTTCCTCCACCCCCGGAAAGGGGCGGCAAAATAGGTGCACTTTGCTTATCACTCATTACATGTGACACTATAAAAATTGTTCATTATACTGTACTAAAATGATATCTAATCTAATTTAAATTCAAAGTGAAATTTTATATACTATAAACAAAACTATATAACTAAAAGTTGGTTTGCTATGCAAATATTTCAGTACTGTAAGATTAAAAAAGAAAATAATTATAAAAAAAAAAATATATATATATATATATATATAAGATTAAAAATAGAATAAACAAAATAAAATAAAGATACTACAAAATACATATAATTTGTATGAACATAAGATAATATTATCTCTTACATGAAATAAGACAAAGAATATTCAATTTTTTAAAAAGAAAAAAAAATTAAGAGATTCATTTAATAAATTTTACGTATACATACATACATACATACATACATGTGTGTAGATATATAAGACTATAATAACGATATAAACAAAACATTTACGTATGTTATTTGAACCAATTTAAAACACTTCTATATATCAAAACATCCAACACAAATAAAATTACATACGGAATGTCAACGTAATTAATTATCTTATGAGTATTTAATGAGTACAAAAAGTATTGCATGGCATAATGCATTTCTTTTTTTAGTTTTTAACAAACACATACTCAGACGGGATCTTTGTTCTGGGAATAGAATACAAATACGGTCATATAAGAATGTTAATTGATTTGTGAAAAAAGCGCCGAAATCAAAATTTCGCTATGTATTCATTCATAAAGACTCATTGGAATTTATAAAACGTTAGTACTGCGCAGAAGTGCGCGTGCATTGAAAATTACGGTATCACGAAGACATTGAATGTCTCAGCGACCAACCGGTCGTCGAAAATAGCGTTGTCATTTCGAATATCGAAAGAAAGTTAAGAATACCCGAGACTTACGCGACAAACATTAGGGGCGTACGAGTGTTCCTTCGACGAATAAATTAAGATTTTCCGAATAAATACTTTTGTAATATAGATTTTAAATATGCTAATTAATAATTAAGACACAAAGTACGTTATTTTTGATTCTTTAAACTATACAGTTAACCGAGATATATATTTTCTTATAATTGCGTCAGTGGAGCCTCGCGGTGATACAAAAGAAATTTTTCGTCCGCCATGTTGGCGTTGCTCGATACGAGGGCGGACTTACCATAATGTAATCACAAAATTCTGCAACGTAGGTGAGCCATCCACGAAAATAATTGTCACACCCGTGATCGGCGAACGTTAAATAGTAATTAGGTACTTCACGTAATATACGCTACATGAGCTATATCTAATATTTTACAGAACATTTTCGCTCGACTTGCTCAAGGACGCAGACACTTCTAAACATGGCGACAGCTCCCGATAAAATTTCAGACGGGACCAGATCAGGAGTAGCTTGCTCATGATCATTTACAGAAGCCACGGTTGGATGGCGCTACTATGCAGCTCGAATTTTCTGATTGGTTGAAACGAAGGAAACGCTTGGCAACGTGGCATCAACGGAATCACGCGATTGGTGGAATGTTAAAATGTTAAAACTGCTAATTTTAATCAAATCAGCAACCATTATTCCTTGCTTGTATTAATATTTCTTAAATATTTACATTAATTTTTTTATAATAAATTATTATTCTTGCATGATTACACAAAAAATTATCAAGATTAAATTTTATTTATATGATCTTAAGACAAAGACTCCATTTGAACTAATATAAACTTAGTATATCTTTTATGGTTGATCTAAAAAGGCTTTTATTCTTTACTAATCCTAATATAGCATTATAGATCCATAACCATACAAGCAAATATTTAAATGATCACTAGTATTTTTTTATAATAATGCACATATACGGTGGTTTTTTAGTATCGTCAGCGTAATAATTACAATTATAATCAATTATATGAATTACACAAAGAAACTTCTATAGAAATATCGAATGGATTACTAACGAGTATTCTATTATCAGAAAAAATTGATATTCGTAAAAAAAATAAAGCGGATGCAATAGGATGAAATTTGTACTCACTTTTTATCATCTCATCCTGTGTTCCGATGATACTTGGAGCTCATTCCACCGTTGAAATATTTTCTGTTCGACACCACGTGCACACGATTGCCTATCTCTGACCATGTGCGTGCCTGATGAACAAAGCTTCCGTATAAAGGAAAAATACGTAGGATGCGTATCTTCGATGTACGACATTGAAATATTCGATTTTTAATGAGTTGAAGAAAACCATTAAAAGGAGACTTCTTCATCTTCAAATTGACCTAAGATTGATACGACAAAAAAACAATGTGAAAAACAAGAAAGACGAATATAAATAAATATGTGAATACGAGAAAGGTTAATCTTAGAAAAAATATGTCTTACCACGATGTATCTTCTTCTCTCCTTGAATAATTCCATCCACTTGACTTTTTCTTCATCGGGCTAACCGCGTGCTTCACGAGCAAACACCAGAATGACGTCTGAGGTCATTTCGAGTACTTAATACAGCGCATCATCTACTTTAGATAGCTACCTTATATTTGCACTGATCAACGTAGTATGTGTTATAACGATTTGAAATTTATTGTGATAAAGGGGTGGGGATTTCCTTTTACTTTGTACTAAGGAAATCTTAACTATTTAATTTTTTTTTTTATATATTTTTTTTTTAATAAAAAAATGGAACAATTGAATTCTAATATGCATTCTCAATTATCGGAAAGTATAATTGAACGATTACGTCATAAAAAAATATTAACCGTAATCGATTTTATAATCGAGGATCAAGACAAATTGAGAGCTGCAACGAATCTTTCATTTAAGGTCCGTTTAAAATTTTATATTTTATTTAAAAATATTTTTTATTGTTTATATATTATAATATATATATATAATAACTAGAATTTTTTACAATAAACATTTATACAGGAAGTGATCGACATTAAGAAAACTCTAACAAACAAATTTGGTGGCATTATAAAAAGACCTTCAACTTTGTGGAAATTAGAACAGTTAAATACTGTTCGCACTAGAATAAGAAGGTATTTGTTAAAATTATATTATAAATAATAGAATAAATTATATTTATAATTAATAGAAAATATTCTTAATTAATTATATTACAGTTTGGATGATTTATTAGGCGGTGGTTTAAATCCTGGTCAAATATATGAAGTATGTGGTTTATCTTTTTCTGGAAAAACACAATTATGTTTAACAATTGCAAGTAATATTGCATTATTTTCTAATAGTCTTGTGAGGTATATTGATACCAAAGGAGATTTTTTTGCCTCCAGAGTAGATAATATTTTGAGGTATAGGACTAAATCTAAAGAGGTAACGTTTATAATTTTGTTAATATATATATATGAAATATATATTCAAAGATAGGTTTATATAAAATAACAATATATTTTTAGGAAATCAATAAAGCGATGGAGCAGATAAAAATTACATTGGTACGAGATTATAATAAATTACTTGTTATTCTTCAATGTATGATAAATATTTTAAAACAAGAGAGTGATATACGTACAAGAGCTTTAATCATCGATTCTCTGCCAGGAGTAATTTTTAAATCTTCTAAGGAACCAGAAATGAATTTTATTTTAAATCGTTTATCAAATTTATGTCGATTTATAGCAAATGAATTTAATATACCTATTATTATAGTTAATTTAATAACTTATTGGACACAGCCGAATGATAAAAGCAGTGGATCCTCAACAAAAGAAACACAAACATTAATAAATCCTACATTAGGAAAATATTGGCTGCATATACCGAATACAAGATTACTCATTGAAAAACTAAATGATAATTATAGAAGAATTTCTGTTTGGAAAAGTTTTCAAATTAAAATGGATTCTATATGCAACGTTAAATTAAACGACGCTGGTGTTACATGAGTGATATATAATTTATTGTAAGTATATTAATTTCGTTCAAAGCATGTGAAACTTCAATGACAGATATGAAAAAAATAAAAATATGTAACAGTGTTTCCATCATGAGTTTATTGTTTAATCATATCAGGCTATTCTCTATCTGAAAGATAGAGCATGTGTGATTTCAGTGATTGATTGATAGCAGTGATTGATACCATAGGAAAATAATATTTCCATCATGTACTATATATGAGCTTGTATATAATATATTCTTCTAACTAGGAGAGGCTCAGAAGTGTAAACCTCCGATTTTTTTTCAAATTTTGTATATTAGTAGTAGTCCATGCAAATCTAGTACATTGTTTTTAAGCTGCTGATGTGTGCGATAATCCATTGAAAGTCTTATGATTTTTCCAGCTAGTACCGCTAGATGACGACACATATTTTACTGGTCGGTAAAATAAAGTAATAGTTATTACCGTTAGGTGGCGATAAATGTTTTACTAGTCGGTAAGATGAAGTAATAACTAGTACCGCTAGATAGTGGTACATATTTTACAGTCGGTAATAAAATAACGATTTTCTAATATATTCTTTTTTAAATGATTAAAATTGTGCAAAAATTTGAAAAAAAATATCTGAGATTTACAATTCTGAGCCTTTCATAGTAAGATATTAATAATAAAAGATTATCGAGTAATTATATAATGTAATATATATTTTAACAGAAAAAAAAATGAATTTTTATTTCTTTTTTACTTAAAAATCAAAAGTACAGAAATAACAAATCATAAATATTCAAATTGTTATAAAAGAATAATATAATTGAATGTATTTATTTATACTAGAGGTCTTTTATATGCCAATAATTTTTCATGATCATATATAGTGTGTATCTTTTCGTACATATATTTAAAGAAGTATAAAAGATTATCGTATCGGCCATCATATTTTTGATTAGAATTTGATATATTAGATGTATTTAATTCTTCAATTTGCAAATTATCCTTATTCTCTTCTCTATATGTACATTCAGCTATATCAAAGGCACATGTATGAAGTTCTACTAAAAATTGATGAATAGCTTCTATCGTTGCCAAATACCATCTTGGACTTTTCTTTTGGTGTCGCCAGAATTGTGACATTCTTGATTTTAAAATGATACATCTTAAATCTATAAATGAATATTTAATTTGTAATGAAAATAAATTCTAACAATTGAATAAAAATATTAATTAAATATTATACAGGCCTCGAAATCGTTGATCTTTATATATTGACTTTGTTTGATGCCATGTACTATCGATAAAAATTGCTCTCTTTATTGGATATTCATTCCTTTCGATTCTTTCTAAGATCCTTTTCCCATCTTGTTTAACTTCATTAATAAGAAAGTTATCGATACTTACAGCAGTTTTGCTAGGAAAAATGAGAACAGTCTAAGGGATAATGTCATTAACATATGTCAAAAATGTAATGATTCAAAATCAATTGTATTACTATATATACATATATATATATATATATATATTTATCATACCTCTTCGTTTTTTACCATTTCAGGAAAATCTGGATAAATATATATCCTTACATCTTCAGGAGCTAATACAGCAGCATGGACAGCTGTACTTTTCCCTTCTATTTCTCGAGGATGTTTGATAATATCTATTTTTACAGGTAACTATAATAATAATAATAACATATTTAATATTACTTATAATCAATATTATTTATTACATATTTATGAAAATATTAACGCATTGTTGACTGGCAATTTTATACAAAAGTTATTTCATATTACCGGCTATTATTTCTTCATTAAATATGAAAGTAAACTTTAATATTCTTTATTTATATATAATAAATTTGAAAACAATGCAAACTAGAATTAATTCATAAACGATCAATTTTATTTCAACATGAAAACATGAGTTAACAAATGAACGGTCAACGATGTGTTAAATATTTAAACAATCTTATCATAGATACCCTTAAACGTGGAAAATATTTCTCATCGATCATAGGTGTAAAACAGGTATAACAAAAGAATTTTCTCGACCTATAACAATTTGCACATATTTTTCTACCCTCAACTGTATCTAAAATTTGTGCATTGTCAATTTTCAAATGTTTGAATGGAGCCCTGTCGATGATCCTTTGATTTTCTTCCAAATGGTACTTTTTATCATCTTCAAGAACTATATTATTTCCTTCAGCCATAATACTTTTGTGGTAAACAAAATCTTCAGTCAATATAATTAATTATTATCACAATTTATTGAATTGATCGTTCATTCATGTACTTTTTTTTAATCGTTTGATCACATCCTTAAAATTAAATATGAAACGACGACACAAAGTTGTTTTTTTTTTCAGTAATACATTTTATCAGTTCACCTTTCTCACCTTATATTAAGGGAAACGTAATCTATAAAATTTGATATAAATTTTACCCAAAAAACCTTTAAATTATACATATATATATGTAAATATATCAAACGTCATATAAGCAAGTAAAGAGAGAACACTCCTATGAATATAAACAATTCGAAGAAAGTTTATTCATCCTATGGAAGAAAAAGAAAAAAAACAAAAAAACAAAGAAAAAGAAAAAGAAAACAAAATAAAATCAGTATTTTTATATCGTCTTACTAAGAAAGATGCGTTTTAAGTTTCAATGACGTATAAGCACCCACGCGTGATTCTGCGCGAGAGGTTAGGAAAAAAGAATTGTTACGGGTGGGGTCTTGATAAGGTACTCCCTCCTCCTGTTTCTGAATTAGCGAACAGAGTCGACTTGAGGGTACTTTTTATGGTCGTCATGTTAGACAACTTTGCTTCAAGCAGATTTTCATTACGTACTTATAATTAACTTATTCTTAAATTAGTGTCAAATAATAAGTGTCAAATAAATTTCATTTTGTTTTCTTGTGTGTGAGGAATGACAGAATATAACAATCTTAAGATCATTCAAATTTTATTAAGATTTGTCGTTTCGTTGAAATTAATATTTAAGAAAAGTTTTCATTTACCAAATGTACAGTGCGATACGAAAATAAAACGTTTCTTGTGTTATAAGATGATTTGAAAATTTGTATGCGTGTAAAATAAAAGATCAAATATAAAATAATATATAAAGAATTAAATTAAATCAAAATGTTTCATCAAGTAAAAGGTAAGTTGGTGGTTCATTATCGATAATGCAGTGTCCATTACAGTTATTTTATTCTATAGTTTTTTCTTTCTTTAGAGTTTACGTGTCGATTCGTTACTAACCACCAATGATTGTACATGGCCTTCAAAGATTATTTACTATTCTCTGACAACTGTGCAGAACGCTCGATATTTAACTTTAGTGGAATTCTTTTAAGATCTATCTATCTATATATATATAATAGTTGTAAAAAAGGTTAGTACTGTATAATGTAGGTTTATTTTCTTTTATGCATGATTACTTGTTCAAAATTTCAAATAATTTTTTATTTATTTCAGGTGTAATAATATAAAATGGAATCTAATAGTTGTTTTACGGAGAAAAGAAGAATAAGAGGAAAAGATATTCTTAGAATGGATGGTCTTTTACCACCAACACGTCGTCTGCCAGTTTGTAACGCTATAACTTCAACGTCTTATAAGAAGAAAGAAAAGAAATGGTCTATCGGAGGAATATTCAAACGTATATCTTCTATGCGAGATGATGACAGTTCTTCTAACGAAGAAGAAATAGTTTATTGTAAAAGGGAACCAAGGAAACCTCCTAAAATCAATAAGAAATCGGACAATATAGTACTTCATCCAGTCAAAACTAATAATGAACGTCAGACCGGGTCTAATAATTTATTAACCGAAACTAATGTAGAAAAATCAATGGAATCTCTTAACGTACACGTAGATTCTGTACATTCACGTAGTAGTGATGGTTCGTTGGAAGGTATGGGTAGGAAAATAAGAAAAAATAAAATGAAAGCAAGAGTAGAAGCTAAAAGAGATCAGTTATGTCCTAACAGTAGTTCTGATGAAGATTCACGTATTTCTAATAATTCATTGACTAAATCACTATTAGAGGATCAACATTCGCAAAGTATTTGTAAAACTAATTCTTATAGCAGACGTACTCGAGCTGCTAGAACAGAACGATATATCAAACGTTTGTTTAAAGAAGAAACAACCATAGATGATGGCAATCAAATCAATTCTAAACGAGACAATTCTGAATGTTTTGACGAAGGACAACATATTGTTATCGTTAATTCGAATGATACGTCTCGTCAAATAAAACATTCAAGACAATCAACAACCATGATGCAATCTAATGATCAAGTTCCAACACATAAGCCAGTTGTGTTAAGTTCTCCAAATATCAATACAGGTATAATAAGTTCTTGTAAAAATTCATCGTACAGTAATAAAAATGAATATCTTTCTACTCACAAATATTTTACAGATATGAATCAAAATAGCTATTATGAAAACAACACTGCTGCTGGTCGTTGGATGGAACAGGAATCAAATAATTATTTTACACTGTCATCGGTGAGGGATATTGACCGTCAAAAAGATCACATTATGGAACAAAAATCTATGCCAAGATCATCTAATCCACCAGATCCTCCACCTCGTGATCCTCGTCGTGTTCCTACTTATGCGTGCCATTCTTTTCCTTTTAATGGTAGAAGTCAAAAGAAAAGACTTTTTAACGGATATGCAAATACATGTATGGATCCAAAATTCGATTGGATGGATGGTAAGCGGGCATATAGTTCAAGTGAAGAAATTACACAATATTAACAATATTACACAATAATAATAAAATATATTATTTTCAGAATTCGATAAGATCAACAATATTCTTCCACAAGAATATACAAATAATAAGTATACGTCAATGTGTAATCGTTCGAACGAGATTGAACGTAATCCGTGTCGATCTCTGCAAATGGACGAGCCTGAGGCTTCAAAGTGTAGAAGAAAGAACAATCGTAATAATCAACTTAGTTTGAACGTTAATGAATACGATCAGAGTGTAAAACAGATTCAATTATCGATGGATTGTGAACCAAATGGTATATATGGACGAATCTCGGCACGTAATACTCAATCCTCTAACGAACGTTCGTATCTTACAAATAACGATGGGAATGAAATGAATATCGAAGAAAAGAACAAAAAGACAAGGAAGATGGATGAAGAGGCAGCTTTAGAGAGAAAACAATCATCGAAGAATCTTGAGGAAGCTATTTTCGAGTTGGAAGAAATATACAATAGTTTACGACTTGGAGATGAGGATTTGTTAGATCGAGCTGAAAGAAGAAGTATGGAAGAATTTAGTCTTAAACATGGACAACCTGAAGATAAACCAGTGAAAGCTGATACTTGTGATTCACCAGATAGATCGAAAGACGACATGGCCTATAGAAGAATGCATCCTGTTGAACGACCAACTTCCTTGTCGGATATTATTGGACAATCATCATTTTCAAACATCAGTTACCTTATTGCTTCACCTGTGCTTTCACGTAGAGACAATGTGTTTGATGAAATGAAAACACCTATTGGCATAACGCGTCGTGATGAGCCGGATGTAACGAAAGATGATGTTGTCTTTCGTAGTATACATCATGCCAATAATACTCTTAAAGTTATTGAACCTCAACCACCTTTTGGTATACCACTTGGACCAGTGACCACTGCTACAGAGAGCGACTATCTGCACACAGTGCCAAATAAATCTAATCCACCTCGTTCGCCATATATACCACAATGCGAACCTGATGTCGTTACGGACGATTTAGCTTTCAGAACACTTAGAAAAGATTCTACAACAACACCAACAAAGAATAACGTAGATAATCTAATAGAAAGTTTCAATGAATCTATTAATGAATTTCCTACTAAAAAAAAGAGAGCCGTTAGATCTCTATCTGCCAATCTTTATGGGTTAATAAATCAAGAGCGTATACATTTGCACAGACAACCAAGCCTTTGTGAGATTAAAGATGACGTCGAAAATATAGATAGTATTTGTAAGTCTATAGAAAAATTAGATTATTTTAGACGTGTTGTCAGCGATGGCGAATTATCCGATCAAGGTAATACAAAGTGGTATGGTGAAAAATATACTAAAAATAATTTTGATATAAATGGAAATCATCGTGATTCTGGTCCTTGTAGAAAAATGCTACGAGTTTATGTCTCTCCGTCAACAACGATACAATGGTCAGATAAAAATTCTAATCATCGTGAAGATACGCCAACGTCAACTTTTCTCAGTGCTACCAGACGGACTTCATCTGTTGACATTAATCAAGATTCTTGGAAACAAACTCGTAATGATTCTTTAACTGCTAAAGATAATACAGATTCAGATTTTACTGCATACAGTCGTTTGTGTCAAGATTTAGTAAATATAATTAAGGGGACGGATGAACCAGATATAAAAACCAACGAGCAGGATGAAGTAATAATTGAAGCCAAAAACTCAATTCGTCAAAATAAAGTTGAGATAGAGCCTTTAATTACAGAATTACGTAATGAACTTCTTGATAATACACTTCAAGAACGGTCCAATTCATTTAAGAAAAAGGAGACGGATGAAACAGAGGAATCCATTGACTTAAAGTTGGATGAAGAAAATGTTTTTGAAATTGAAGATGATAAACTCGATTATTATCTTCGTTTGGCGAATGAAAATGTAAAGATGATTGCACAGGCTTTTAGCAACGTTGCTGACCACGTACAGGATGGCCTTGATGTTGTTCCTGGAGATGATTCATCAAGCCATCTTAAAACCGACAGCGATAACACACGTGAAACTAGCACGCGTTCGTCATCACTATTAGTAGAGGGAGATGAAAAGACACAGGATGAAATGTCAACGTCCTCGAAAAACGAAGATCCTGTTACAATAAGCGTAGAATCCGATATATCTAAAGAAAACCTTGATGTTCCTAATTTAAAAAAAGATAACGTTAGACATCCATCGGAAATTGAAATCGATCTTAACAGAGCCGTGGAAGATCTACAAATAGCTGCAGCTAGTTTAAATGGTAGCGTACAAGAGATGAAAGAATTAGAGATTCAACTTGCGAAACTAGGTGAAGGTTATTTGGCCATCGAAGTCGAAGACAAAGTCAACAACAAAAATGAACAGGAGAAATTGAAGAAGGAGGAGGAGGAAAAAGAAAAAGAGAAAGAGAAGAAGAAGGAGAGGCAGAAAGATGAGGAAGAGAAGAAGAAGGAAGAGAAAGATAAACTTAAATTATTTATTGTAGAGAAGAAAGATGTTATATTTGAGTCAAATATCGAACAAGAAAACGGAGCAGAAGGAGCAAAGAAAAATGTTGAACAGGAATGTAAGATGTTGGAGCCAATAGAAACGGAAGATGACAGCAGGCCTATTGCGGTTCGCGAAGGTGAGAGGAATGTATGGGAGGTTGATTTAAAAACATACGAGAATTATTTCGCACGATCGATCGAAATACGTGTTCCTTATGTAACTAACATCATTACTATAACTATAACAGAATATTCCATGGTTTTACTCGCTTGCCTCCTTGCACTGCTTTTAGCAATCGTAGCAGCGTCGTGAGAACGATTCTATCAAAGTGCATTTATATGGTATGGCATATTTATGGTGGGTCATGTGTTTTTTTACCCTGGGGTTGTGCAATCGTCATTTGTATTTTCGTCTTACTAATGTCGTAGGTCTCCAGGATAATGTTCGTTCGGCATGCGATAAAGGTTACCATGCGAGTATGTAAACTCGATTACACTCGTGGTGTTGTGGATTCACGTAAGGCGGCGACAGGTGTGTGTTCCTTCTGAATTTTTAAATAAAACAAAAAAAGAAAAAGAAAAGAAAATAAAAATAAAAATATATACATGCAACTCTACGAATTGATTAAGAAAGGAACGATTTTCTTGTTGTTCTCGTTGTTGTTGTTGCTGCTGACGCTGTTATCGTTGCTATTGTTATTGTTGTTGGTTTTAATAAAGTTTAGACATTTGTGCCGCATATTTTGCAAAGATCTAACACCCTATTTTGTAAAATAATACCGTATTACGTCGCCCCCAGTTTTTGTTTTTTTTTCATTTTTATTTTTCTGAAATTTTTTTCTTTTTTCTTTTGTTTTTAGGTGAATGAGAAAAGCATTTTGTTTTTGTAGGAAGTTATTTCACATAGATCATGTTTTATAATACATACATAAATATGGAGTTAAATATATATAAGGCATACATCAAACGAGTACTGTCGGTAAAGTTGCACGGGAAACTTAGATGGTAAATGATTGGTAAAGAGTACTTTAACGGTATATTTAAAATAAATGTTTTCCTTTCAGTCACTGAGCTATTGTTAACGACGAAAGTATATACTTTCATAGAATTCAAATATTGTTACTTTTTAATTGAATCTTTACGTGTATTAATTTCTTTTCTTTTTTTTCTTTTGTAAAAAATATAATTGTAAATATAACGTACAACGCGAAGTGGGTGGTGCATCAAGTCAGTATCGATCGTAGCAATATAATTTCGGAGAGGAGGCTTCCTCTCCCGGTGAAAGAAACGAGGAATTATCGATCGCATGAACTGATGTGACGTCATCAAGGATCACGCCACATTTTCAACCATTGAAACGAGATTCGCGATTGGTCTATGCGTAGCTCAACTATCTATATCTATATCAAGAATAGTCGGGATCGTGTCTCGTTTTGCAAACTGCATGCTTTAACGAGTTTGGTTCCTAGTACGTTGCATTTATGCATAAAACATTATTATTCTTCTTTATATTACTTTTTATACAATCTAGATAAAATAATGTTTAATAAATTTAATATAAAATTCATAACCACGCGTTTAATCATCTATGAATATTTAATACTTGATTGGGTATTTAAAAAATATCTACAATAAGATAAATATCATTTAAATTTATTATTGTAATTACATTATCAAATGCAATTGGTATTCATATAGTATTGTTTTTATCTTTTGAGAATATTTAACAGAATTTTGATTTTCATAATAGTGTACTGAAATTGATAAGAAATATCTACATAGATATGTGTATACTTTTTATTAAACTTTTCATTGAAATATTTATATTTTAATTAGAATGATATCTGCAAGAAAAAACAATTGTTTTTTAACTTAAAGAAGCAGATAGGTTCATGTGTTAAAAGTTTGTCAAGAATTCCGTTAGATGACAGTATCAGCGTGCACCTAATCGATCCCGTTAGTTTAAGATTGCCGAGCGGCAAGATGGCTGCGTCAAGTCAGAGTAAACCTAATACATCCCTTGTTATTTTCCGGTGGAATTAGTAGCGTCTAACGTGTAACATATAACAGAACGTAGATCTACAGAGTTTTCATTGGATATCCAGTTTTCTCGGGAGGAATAAGTTCGCGTTGTCGTTGATGACATATTCAAATATTCCATTTAAATTCTATGGGCGAAGAAATTTGACATTTATTAAAGGGACAACTATGACAATCTAGAAAAACTTATTCGAACGTTAAAACGATCATTACCACATTTTTTCTTATATTTTCAAATAACGAAGTATATATATCGAGGAACGAAAAGTTATAGAATCCAAAGAAGGTTAATTTAGCGAAGTAAGTGTGACAGTGTTAGTGACACGTAATAGGGCAAAGAGGAGAAGCACGTGGTATCACTTGAGTGCTTCGTGTAATAAAAACGGTATATCCTGTGGAAATTATTAATATAATACGACGAATAAAAAAAAAAAAATTAACAGACAAAAAGAGGAAGAAAGAAAGAGGATAATAAAGTACTTCGTACGAAGATCCTTTTCCTGGTAGGCTAAACGAAAAAAAAAAGACAACAACAAATATTACGTGACTTCATTTGACTATTTTTGTTTACCACCGAAATCAAATATCAATTTAAATTCATCGTCTATCCATTCGGCGCTCCAACTGTCATACGTGATTCTTAAAATAACTTTATCAATCTTACGTAAGAAAATTAAATAAAAAGATAAAAGAAAACGAAAAAAATTTAATCGTTGGAACCTACGTCGTTCACCAATTTTAACAGTTAACTGCAGTAAGGATAGTACTGGTGGTTCGAGGAGAGAATTCAAGCCTTCTTGAATTAGCATGTTTATTTTTGTTATATAAGCCTGACTTCTTCTTCTTGTTCCACGTGTGTATACTTTATTACAAGCACTACATTTATTTCAATTTAAAATCGCGACAATATTCTTTACTTCACAGTCGATATTTTCGTGATCGACGTGGGTTAGCGATTAAAGATCAAACATTTACATAAAGAAGGTAAATAGTTCAACGTAAAGTTAAGAGGAAAAAAACAGAATATATTTTTATATTAAATTGACGAATTGTTACGAAATACGACGAACATATGTTCTCCACATTATACATACATATATATATATATATAATAGGTGCATACACACATACACGCATATATATATATATAAATATGTTTTACCGGCTTTAGTCGTGTACCATTCGGTGCATACTACCTCCGCCATCTTTCGCTCCTCCCCCTTTCTCCCACTACCCACGAACCTCTACCACCTCCACACAATCTTTTCCTCGATTCCACGGCGCCTACCATCATCTGCCTGCTGCTTCGTCGTCATCGTCGTCGTCGTCGGCACGGATGGTTGCGCTCGCGCGCACACCTACACTCACATTATTCTTGACCCTTGAATTGTGAACAGTGATCATTTTCTTCTTGCATTTGTGGTTGAGGGAAAAAGAGTTAGTCTATTGAAATCGACGATCTCGATTGGTGGATGTGGTACTAAAAATTTATAACTTATTTTTCATTGTAAAATATATATATATATATTGTTATTTTTGTCTCTTTCTTTCTAATTGAGTTGTGCGTGGGTGAGTGTTTTATTTTACTTGGTAAGTTTGCCTGAATTTTTTTTATTTATTTATTTCTTTCTTTCTTTCTCTTTCTTCAGTCATAGTTTTATATATATATATATATGTATATGCATTTCGTTACTCTTTCGGTGAAGTGTGCGCGCGTGGACGAAGTAGTGTAAAGCTTTCCTCTCACGAATCAACGTATGCGCCGGCGCTATTTGTCTAGCATAGGTATATATATATATATATATATAAATATATATATATGTTGTATATAAGAGTATGTTTAAGGATTATGCGAGGGAGGCGTCCGGCGTCCTTCGTTGCAGTCACATCAAGTTGCACTTATAAGAGAGACAACGATGAACAGAAGAATAGGATATAGTTTTATTTTTTAGATAATTTTTATTAAAAAATATTATTTTATTTTATTTATTTAATTATTTATTGGTTTAGCTGAAAATATTGTTTATTAAAAGGTCTATAAAAAGGTAATTATTAAGGATTAGTAAAAATTTGATATTAATCATTGGTATACCACGAATTTTATTTAATTTTTTGTTTTATTTCAGTTATTAATCAAAATCAAATTATTTTCTGTTATTACAAAGAAATGAACTTGTTAAAATTATATCGATAATCGATATTCTATGTGAAAAAGGGATCACTATTATTTTTGGGGAGGATTATAACCTTCGTACCTTACTATTAATTTTTAATTTTATATATGCGCGCGCATCTATTTATTGGTAGAAGTATCTATTATATATATATATATATATATTTGAAAACAATCTATTCACAGATAATAACGTAGTACACAACATTTTATCGATAATTAGCATTTAATTGACGCTCCTTTGTGTGATTGTATTCATCACGTATTTTTTTTTCTAAGTATAATGATATAATTAAAAAAAAAAAAAAATAGAAGAAAATAATAAGGAAAAACATTAAAAACAATTGCATTCGGTTTCCTGCTATTTCTTCACGGCCGTGATCAAGCCAATGAACGCCCTTTTCTTGTCACGTGGAGTATTTTATTCTCACGTTGTTCGATCTCACGCGATTTAATACTCTCTCGACGAATAATATATTCCTCTCTTTTATTTATTCTCTTTTTATCTCTTTTTAAGATACACACAACCCATACACACACATGTATTCACTCTCCCGTACTATTTTCACTCACCTGTCTTCTTCGCCTGTATTACTAACACACACATATGACTCATCTTCGTTCTTCTTCGGTATATATCGGATCGTGTTGATCTTACGAAGAATTCGATTGCATCGAGCTTGAAAATATCGTAAGAAAAGAGTTTAATCTTTGTACTTTGTATTTCCCCTTTAAGTAAATTGTAATAATATACTGTGTAATCAGGTAGAAAATATAAGTATCAAAGTTTAAATGTAAAAGATAAATCATTCCAAGATATATAATATATATCTTTTATTTTTTAATTTATATATTTTTAATACATCACTTATAGTGATATATATATATTAAATGTAATATATTGTAATATATAGTAATATATTAAACATATTAAATATATCACTTTTATTTTTTTTGTTTTCATTAATAAACGATAATAATATTTTAAAATAATCATTAAGTATTTATCCAATCGGTAGGAAATTTTTCTATTTTTTTTTTTTTTTTTTTTTTGGACAAACCGGATACTTTTTAATAATTTACATATGCATTTTAAACTTTTGTTTGTTAATCAATATCGATCGAATTTTTCACAATTACATTTTGTACCATCGTACATCGGAAGTTTTGAAAAACGAGTTTCCTTTATAGTTTAATAATTAGTTTACCTTGACTTCTTAACATTATGGAAAGATTGTCTAAGTATAACAATGGGGTTTCTCATATTTCTCATCTGGTTTTGTATAATACACATTTGTTGTGTTCTGTGGTTTAGTTTATATTCTCTTCTTGGATATGTATCATCTCTTTTGTACGAATTTACTCGGCATAGAGAACTTTGTAATCGATCGTTGACACGTCCTAGATTTAAAAAAAAAAAAAAAGAGATGAAAAACAGATAGAGAGAGAGAGAGAGAGAAAGAGAGAGAGAGAGAGAGAGAGAATGAGAGAAAGAGAGAGGAAAATTGGAATACTTTTATTTTCTTAAATTCGAATGATCGATTGTTCTTAAGAGTTCCTATTATTACAATAAGACATTGATATTTGTTACAGAAGCGATATTTAACCTATGAAACGTGAACGCTTAGTGTCGGTCAACAAACTAAACAAATACTTGTGTGCGTTGCATCGTACCGGTTATACTTGTTATTCTTTTCTTTTTCTTTTCATTTCTTTTCTTTTCTTTTTATTTTTTATTATTCATGTAGTTCTTATTAGCAACGATTAAAGTCATTCATATTTATACATACGTATATAGGTTCCACTAAATGTATACACATTATTTATTAGTATATATATAATAAAAAATAGTATATTATATTATAATATAATTGTATTAGTACTACTATAATATAATAGTTATATATATATACTAATAATAGTATATATATTAAATTATTATTATAATTATATTATAATATATATAGTATATAATAATTATAATATATATAGTATTTATAATATAATATAATATATTATAGAGAGAGAGAGAGAGAGAGAGAGCGTATATTATAACTATATATATACTCTATATACCCTAATATACTAGTATGTATATATAGGTTCCACTAAATGTATACACATTATTTATTAGTTATTCCAAATTAGAATTGACATGATTTATGCATAAGATAATAATCGATCAACTTTATAACTATTTAATAATATTTATTTCTTTACAGTTTTACCATCCTATTTTCTTTCTTCTTTCTTCTTTTGTTTCTTTTTTTTTTGTTGCAAATTGTATGATTAATAATTGCAAGAATTGCATTTTTAAAGATTAAAAAAACCGAAAAGCACACGTGGTGGTGTGTTGAATAAAAGTGAATAAATGATCATAAATTATTTTATTTCAGCTTAGAAAAATTAATATCAGAATGCATAAAGAGAAATCATTTTTAACAGAAATTCTTTGTAATATTATTTGTAACAAAAGGAATAAAGAAATAATAGCACGTTTATTCGTGAGGGGGTGGTAATTAAACAATTCCTCCCATTGTTAGAAATATGATAATTATTTTTAAAACAAAAATAACAACAGAATAACGAGAGAGAGAGAGGAAAAAGTTATAAAAATTTTGTGAACAGGTTTTTATTTGAAAGGGTAAGAAGAATAAAAAAGAAAAAAAAAAGTAAAAATAAATGGGATCAGTTAGTTGATCTCAGCTGGTATATTCTCATCATGATTCGCGTAGGAGGTTGTTCAATAACAGTGCGACGTAACGCGAAATCCTTCCCCTCATAGATCACGAACGGTCTACTCTCTTCCGGTATATATATATATYGTATACTCCCTTCCTTTTCGCGTGACATTATTGATGACGTCTCTTTCTCTCTTTCATTACTTATTTTTCTTTTCCCCATATTTTATTTCTTTTTATCCAACAAAAATTGTCACAACTCATACACTTTATTTTCCCATTCGTGGAAAATTTTCACATTTATTTATATACATATCCATATATATATATAGTATTACTAATATATACTATTAATACTAATATTACTAGTTATACTATTATAATACTATTAGTATAACTAGTAATCTAGTATATAATAGTAATATTGGTATTATTAGTATAAGTAGTATTATAATACATTATTATATATATATATATATATATAATATCTTATTTATAATAAATATATATAATAAATATATATAATAAAAAATATAATAAAAATATAATAATAAATTTTATTTATAGTAAAATATATAACATTTTATTATTAATATATATATATATATATATTAATATAATTTAATTAATATATATATATATATTAACA